TTCTTGTATTATCAAAACAGATTTGCAATTTAGAGTCAAGACTAATTCTCCAAAAATTCACAAAATACAAAAAAATATTGATGATTTTTTACAACTTCTTCTATCTTTTTGCTGCTTTTGCTTTTTTTATCCAAGTCTTTTAAAAGACTGAGTGTTTCTTGTAGTTCTTTTCTTCTTTTTTTAAAACTTTGGGTTTGGTTTCTTAGTAGTTTTTGTGTTTTTTGTAATTTTTGTTAATTTTGTTTTCAGAGATTTGTATTTTGATAATTATTGAAAAGAGTTAATTATGTATATATTTTTATTAAATAAGAAAATAAAATATAAAATTAATATATAAATTTTTAAAGAATCCTAATTTAAAATTAATATATAAGTTTTTAAAGGATCTTAATTTAAAATTAATAGTAATTTACTATATAAATTTTTTTATTTTTTTACTATATATATTACTACATTTTATATATAAATTAATAAACATATTTGGTGACCGTTATTTACTACTACATTTTATATATAAATTAATAAACATATTTGGTGACCGTTATTTACTAGAATTAAATTTAATTTTTACTAAAATTATTAAATAGTTAGAACTAAATCAACAGAGATGTTTTCTTGTCCAAATTTTATTATGCCAAACCTGTCCGTGGAACAAAAGATTTATGACGATTATCGGGAGAATCAATAAGTTACCGACGTCGACCGATATCAATAAATTTATCGAATCAGCCGAATTTTGATCGTCGAATTTTGATCGTCGAATAAATTTTTCAATTGTCTCAGAATTTATGAGAACAGCTTTAGATGACCTGTCGGGACGACAGTCATATTTTAATAATTTATTTATGTGGCAAATTTTAAATACAGTTTACTTGTTACGGCAACCATTTATGGATCAATGTGGCCTGTCGGATGACAGTCACAATGGTTAGCTAACAGGTTATAGTCACGCCTCCGGCGAGTTGGCATACCTCATTTTCCCTATCGTATCGCTATATTTGATTATTTTACAAATAATATATAGTAAGTTGAAACTAATAATAGATTAAATTAATAATATATTAAATTGATATTCTAAATGATATAAATTAAATAATGCCATGGGAGAATTTAACGTATAATGATAATAGAGACGAAAATGCAAATTCAAGAAAGAAAAATTAAGCAATTCGCCAGAGGCGAGACGTTAGTAAATTGACCGAAAGTATTTATTGTCGTAGTTGATGCTGAAGACTGATGCTAAAATTCGGACCTATTTTAATATGAAAATCAAATTTTTTTAGTGTTTTTTGTTCGTTTTTTTTTTTTTAGGTTTAGGTTAGGATTTAGGGTTAGAATTGATAATTAAAGAGTATATGTGAATTTTAGCAGGGTTTATATTTTCAAATTGAGACCCCAAATTTTAGCATCAGTTGCTACATTTATTTTAGAACTTTAGAAATTTTTATAATTTATTATTATTATATTATTATATTATTATATTATTATAGAATGGATTATTAACCTGAAGGTTCTTATCTTTTTATAAAGTCGAAATTACAGCATTTTTAAGAATTTCAAGAGGCTTTGAACCGTATATTCTCTTAATCCACAGGCCAAATTCATTGCAAATTCATTGAAAGGAACAAATTTGTGTAAATGAAAAGGCATTATTATCATGAAGCGATGATATCTCATAGTAATGAAGAGAGCTTTGTTAAATTAAAGGCAAATTTCATTATTCATTCTTTACGGTAAAGTAGATTTTCGGTTACGCGTACTAGTTTTTCGGTTGTCGCGTTTGTTGATTATCACTATTCGGCCGATATAGCCTCAAGTTATAACCGAAGATTCGGATTTACGTACCCTTAATTTCGGAAAATTTTTCGGAAAAGTCACTTTTAACCCGTGACAATAACTATCAGTGTTGGCCGATGACATAGGTCATAACATTTTTTCGATATGACCTTGGTCATATATTCATATGACTTTTTGGTCATAAGTCATATCGGTCATATCAAATATTAGTAAAATTTTTTTTTTACTATGAATCTTACTATATTAAAAAGTCATAAAGTCATATCAACCTTCGTTATGACCAAATGACCTATGACAGGTCATAAAGGTCATATAGGTCATTCAAGGTCATCGGCCAACACTGATAACTATAGTATATAGTTAGTTAAGCTATCGGATCTGATCAGGATAGAAGATAAAAAAGGGTAAAAAAAGACACGTATGTATTCGCGTGATCAGGCTAGAGATTCCCAAAGGGAAAATTTTCTCATACGTACATACGTACGTAAACGTAGGTAAAGTTATGTAGGTGATATGCTTGATTACGATATAGATTATTAAATTATTCGCTAAGTTCAAATATAGTTTTTTTCGGAGATAAAGCTAATCTAAATACATTACGGCTGATTTTGATTTTTTAATCTAAACAGTAGAACTAATTGAACGTTGATAAATAATATTAATAACCTAAAACTTAATGGTTATTGATTTATAACCCAAATTTCCTAAAAAGCTGATCAATGAGCTATTCGTGAAAACAAAACTGCATAAAGATGTCACTGTATAACGGTAAATTCTGTTAATACTAGCATTATATCGTTACAGTAATACTTGTTTCAGTCCCTGAGAAAAAAAATTGTCAAAACTCGATTAAGATTGATTATGAATTTAATCTGATCTGATACAAAACACGTTACGGTTTCATCCAAACATGATATCATATTTTAAGTCACGAGCCAAAATATTATATACCAGTCGCAATAATATTGACACTGTAGATAAAAAAGTGCATGCATTTTAGTTGAGCAGATTAGATTTATCGTTATTGCAAGAGAGTGAATAAAGAAAAACGTATATGAATGATTTGTGTTACAGAAATAAATTGTCACAAGACACTAAACTGTAACATTCACTTCATTATTAATATCCACATGATCCCATTTCGTTATTATAGTATAACCAAGTACAGTAAAATAATTATATACGTATTTTTTAAGTAAAAATAAATGCTCGGAAATAACTATGCACGGGTACATATCTAAGTAAATATATTTGTCGTACTAAATATTTGACATTCATACACTGAATAAATAAACAAAATAGACTTGTGAGAAAAATTGCGCACATAGTTACGTACTGCTTAGATTTTACATCATTTTTTTTTGTTATAAATATCGATATCAATCTCAGTTCGTGAAATCAAACTTTTTCTTGTACCTTTTGATTCAACAATAATTACCCTTTGATTCAACAATAATTAATCCTTTCGATTCAACAATAATTTTTAACAGGTAATTATTTGTATATCTACTTTCTTTAATTACATTCGCGGACAAATATTTTTGTTTCCGTAGTTCATAGTTTTAACGTAAAAAATAAAAAATAAAAATAAAATAAAAAATAAAAAAAAATGGAACATCAAATTATTTCGAAGAACCTTAAAAAGGGGGTTAAAGAGGCTGGGAAATTGTTAAGAAAGTTCAAAGCTGCGGTAAGACACAGCCGTCTAAAATGATATGTAAAGAATGAAGAATTGATATTCGTGTTTTTTTAAAAATTATCTACATCAATACTATTATACCTTATACTTATTACTCATTCACATTCTTAACCATGTGCAGGTTTACGTTTTGACAATTTTTCCAAATTATAAACGAAAAATAGCTGAAGAAAAGATGACTAGTAAATAAGTTTATTTTGCGTGATTTCTTGTCAAGTATACCAATATCGATATATCTAATCCTGTTTTAATAATAGCCACCGTTGTCATGAGCCCAAGTTCATTCGCTACTGCAAACACTGAGCCTATAGTCAATCAATTCGTTTTCAATCCGAATTATGAACATTTTTCTGCAATAACATCAAAATTCGGATTATTCAATTTAGTAAACGAAAACGAACACATAAATCATACAAATTTCAACACTGCGAGATTTCACCGAGTCGAAGATGACTTGTTCTCATCATCAAATTCCGATGAGATCACCTGCCCGCAATGCTTTACTCCACAATCTGTTTTTTGTGTAGTTGAGGATGCAAAACAAGAACAATCAAAGAAATTTTATATTTGCATGTCACATAATAATGAAGGATGTGGGTGGCAAGGTGACGAAAAACCGATTGAAGATGATACTAAACAACGCTTAAAGGAAAAATGCGGGTTTATACCATTGCGATTAAATTAGCAATTAAATTAGCGATTAAATTAGCGATTAAATTAGCGATTAAATTAGCGATTAAATTAGCGATTAAATTAGCGATTAAATTAGCGATTAA